GCTAGCATGATCTCCCTCAACGTAAAGAACATCATCCTCCTCGTGCTCGTCGGTGTCCAACTCTTGCTGCGGGAGCTCTAGCAGGGGGTGTCCTAGCAAGAGTTGAAAGACACAAGGACCAGGATGAGGATGATGTACTTTACGTTGAGAGAGATCATGCTCATATCCAGCCGTTCCATAGGCAAGACGATGATAATGATGACGAGCCGCAGGGACGTGCCCACATGGTGGGTGTGCGACGTCCGTGGTTGTGCTCTCTTACGGCCGTGCCGCCCATTTCATGTTGCTGTCATTTAAACATTATGCTTTCTTTTTCCGTGCGCTTTTGTCCCGTAAGCGGGTGTAGCCCGATGTTGACCAACAACAACATATTCAGCTCCAGCAGCAGCTTGCTGAGTACCATCAACTGCGCAATATTTTTTGTGGATACACCCGGACTTCGATTCTCCGTACGGTTGACATGCACTTAGCAGACACAAGGTTGTTCAAAATCCATTCAGGTGAGGTTCGTGTGACCTGTGCGGAAATTGCAACCTATATCCGTGCAGTCGATACCCGATAGCTATCAAGCGGTGTGTCACACTCTCTAGAAAGCAGCTGCAAATACCCAATAGCGGTCACCTAGCATCCTGTAGCAAGCTCCTTCAGCATATCAGGTTCAGCACTCATAGCAATAGGTGGCAATAGCAAGGGTTTGGATCAGTCAACCTTTCGCTTCAGGGGCGGTGTTGATATACATTTATGTATATATTTTTTTCTCCCATCACTGGACTCTGTCGTCTGCCCCTCTGGCCCCCATCCTCCACTTCTACTAGCTAGACGACCCAACCGGGGTCACACAGGAGGGGGGGGTTGGACCCCCTCCTGCGGTTCCTGCCTGAGATATTTTGTCACGAGAAGGGTACAGCAATCCCTTCCCTCGCGACTTATGAAGTAGAGTTTACTAACAACGAGCTTTGAAGCGCGTCGCTTCCAACGGAGACAAGGATTCAATTAGTGAGAAAAAAACTCTCTCTGCCGGGACTCGAACCCATGACCTGGCCCTTAGCAGGCTGCGAGGTACGCACCAAACCATACGTAAACACTTGGTTTCAGTTGGGGGCAACCGCCGAGGAAAAGGGGTTTGCCCCCAGGGGTCAGGGGATATGTACCCTCGACCCCTCTAGTTCAGCAGGCTGGATTGGGAGACATGCTGGTCTGTCTGATTCCCGACCATGTCAGCCTACGCCCTCCGGACACTCGCAACCATGCGAGGTATCCATCATCGTATTTGGAGAACGGGTTGGGACGACCGGCCGTAACAGTATTCATCCAGATCCTCCAGTACACTTCTCATGATCACCGTACTAAATGTAGCCAAGGAACCAATCGAACCCCCGAAAGCGACGTCGAAATCTTGTGGATGGACTGACGTAGATGGCGGGAACGCATCACAATGTTTCATGACAACGTTGGTTTAGTGACTAGCAGATTCCCCTCGCTGCCTCGGCAAGGAATTGCTTAGGCATGACCCATAGCGAGGGAGGGGGGGGTGTACTCGTAATCGTGCATGCCCTAGTCGTTAGACCATTGACCTCGCATCCCTACAAAGCCGGGACGGAGCACGCCGGGTTCTCACCGGACCAGGCTCTCACATCACCAAGCGCGAAGCGCCGTGAGATATTCGGCGAGTCGCATGAAGGGTGCGCTGCATCCTGCTAAGGGTGTTCGGCATCTTGTGCTTACTTCCTTGCGTACGGATGACAGCTGCGTATGAATTAATTTATTTTCTGGTGCTTTCACTTCCAGAGACAGTTGTAAGCACTGTGTAACTGCCTCGAGGGTGCTTGACCATTTTAACACAACGTGGTGCGATCATCCCCCTTGCGCGGAGTGAGGGTTCACCCCGCACAACATGATCTACTCAACCATCATTATGGTTACCGCCCAAAAAAAATAAACGGAGGAAAAAAAAAAAAACGGTAACCTGGTTGCCGAGTTCACGAAGTGAATTGGCTTGTTTTACAACGTCGTTGCCAAGCGACGAAAACCCAATCCCGATGGCAAACACCGGGGGGGGCGGCTTGTTTTACAACGTCGTTGCCAAGCGACGAAAACCCAATCCCGATGGCAAATACCGGGGGGGGCGGCTTGTTTTACAACGTCGTTGCCAAGCGACGAAAACCCAACCCCGATGGCAAACACCGGGGGGCGGCGGCTTGTTTTGTTGGGGGGTCTTTTTAGCGAGCAGGGCTAGACTCACCCTCAAGAGACCGATACCTTCTTGCTGAGGCGCACCCGCCGCGAGGCGTGCGTAGTGGTGGAGTTGGGTCGGCACTGGTGCGTCAGGTACAACGGTGCAGATGCGCGGGCCTCCAGGCCGTCAGTGTAGGCAGCAATGCCCATCTCATCTTTGTGTGCGGAGGCAGACGCCATCAGGAAGGTGGACGGGCACTATTTACACGGCCCTAGGTTTGCTAGAGGGAGCTTTACTGTCTCATTAACCTGGTTTTGCCATCAAACGATGAGGGGACAGGTGGTGACGAGCTGATTGGGCTGGTTGACCCTTCGGCGCGAGAATTTTCAGACCAAGAACCCTAAGTGCAACGAGGGAGAAAGCGAGGAACCGACTGGGAAGGACAGCAACGAGAGCGTGTACGAAGGGAGCGGGTCGAGTTTGTTCGTGCTAGGACTGGCCACAGCGGTACCGGAGAACCGGCACCGGAGCAGCGGCACCAGAGCATGCGGACGTCATCGAACCGTGGCGCACGGACAAACATCTCATGAGTTGTCAATTATGTCCCGTTTTTATTTCCTGAACATATTGTAGTGTGTGGGCGTGTGTAGTTCAGTTTTGAGCACGCAAACGTGCTGCAGGGGTTATAGGTGTACCTCTTTGGGATTGTGTACCCTTTTCTTGCTAATTGTGTGCGTGTTCTTTAGATCTTCTGATGGCTCTAGCATTTTTGTGGCCACGGACCGAGTCTTTGCTAGATTTTGGGATTTGCACCGGACACGAGTGTAATGTGAAGACAACAACAACAACAACAACAACAACAACAAGATACAACCAATAAAAATACAAATAACCCAGACCGTCGAAAGAGTCAAGTCTGTTCCGCGCGCTTGCGGGAAGCGGCTGGTGTAGAAGGCCAACGAGGGTGGTCGTTTCCCGACTTCGATGTGCAGTCACGCAAATCGTTCTCGACGCAGGGTCCCACGATTGACAGCAGGAGCACGAACGACTGCAGTCGAAATGACCACTATTCTCGGTCCAGGTATGTGAACGCTATGCATGACTCCCTCCGCGTGTGCGTGCCATCATCCTAAAGCGGTAGATACCACGTGACAAGGAGGCCATAGACGTGTGAACTGACTCAACCATCTCGACAAAGCATAATTTTTTGTGGCCACCACGACAACCTTCTTGAACACAGGCTGGCGCAGCTCAGGCGTCGGCGTAGGCGGCAACACTTTCTGGCAGTTCAGCCTCCCCAACAGCAGCTACATGACAGGCCCCATCGGAATCGCCCGAACTTGCATGAGCCTGCTGTGGTGACAGCGGTTGCTCTGTTCAAGGTCCCATCCCTTCGAGCGGCGAAGCTGGTCACACCGGCCTTGTAAGATAAAGTTACACCATTAGACTAGTCAGCCGCTGACTAGTCTAAGGGTGTGACTTTATCTTGCAAAAGATATACGCTCAGCTCGTTAGCACCCGGCTGGATCACTTGGGTCTATAGCTTATTGAGAGCAGGGATATCTCCGGGGCCGGACCCCTCGCCAGACGCTGCCTGAAAAGAACACTATGGTGCTTGGGAAAGTGAGTAGCCGGGATTCGAACCCTGCGTGCGTGAAACTTTTGTAGCCAATTAATTGCTAAACCATTTGTCTAGTCAGCGCTGACTGGAAAGAACGGTGCTAGGGAAAGTGAATAGCCGGGATTCGAACCCGTGCGTGAGACTTTTGTCGCCAAACGTCGCTGCCTCGACAAATGGTTTGCTGACTAGACAACTTGTTTCTAAACAAATGGTTTAACAATTGGCGATAAAGGATGCACGCACGGGTTCGAAACCCGACTGGTCACTTTCTCTAGCACCATTAAGTTCTCTACAGGCAGCGTCTGGCGAGGGGTCCGGCCCCGGAGATATCCCTGCTCTCAATAAGCTATAGACCCAAGTGATCCAGCCGGGTGCTAACGAGCTGAGCGTATATCTTTTGTAAAATAAAGTTACACCATTAGACTAGTCAGCGCCGACTAGTCTAATGGTGTAACTTCATCTTACAGGCCTCCTGTCGACCAACGACTTCTCCGGCATCAGGAACTGGCCCCCTCTCCCCACCCCGAGATGTACGCTGTCTAGTTGTCTTCTTGTGGTGTCGCGTGTGTTTGGTGTAGAATTGTTGTGGTTGTTGTTGTCTTCACATGATAAAACCGTTCCGATCTCCCTCTACCCAGTACCTTCAATGTTGTTGTATGTCCGTACTGATCCAACACTCGACGCGGTCGATTCCCGTGGTCGCAGGCAAACTTACCCTAAAAAGGTACACTCAAATGAGCTGGCCCCGAGGGGTCCCCAAGTCAATAGAAATCAACGACAGATATTCTGGAGTCCTCCACTCCCTCTGCGCGCTACGCGAGGTAGCAACTGAGACTAGGAGTCACCATCACGGGCCGGAGAGAAGACACCCCCTTGGTTCAATCTTGGTACTTCACAACGCAAGCAGAGACAAGGCCATCTGGCACAGAAAAAGAGAGAAAAAAAAAGAAAACAGAGAGAAAGAGAAGAAAATAAAAGGAAACGGTAAGGAAAGAGAGTGCGGGGGGTTGTGTGGCGGTGTTACGAGATCGGCCACAGAGGCACAGGAACACAGGAACGCACGAAGGCGGAAGATCCGGAAGATGCAGCCAAAAGAAACAAAAAATGCTACGAACCTACATTTGGTTCCTGTGGGGAGGGCTTAGATGGAACATAGCGTCGGCGGAGCCCCCCGTATCGGGCTCTGGCTTCCAGAACAAATGATCAAACCTGCCTCCTCTACACCCAGATCATTCCCTCTACTCTCTCCACCTCCTGCCGCGCGTAACGAGGCAGAGCAGAGAGTTCTTCGTCTAGGCTCGGGGGTCGCCCATCTCCGTCACCGGGAGGATCGATTTCTCGGCGGGAAGGAAGGGGTATAGACTCAAAGGACATCAGCTTCCCCCAAAGATGGAACCGAGCATCGAAAAGGAGCTGCCCCGGGCCGACCTCGCCGAAATCGAAGAGTTCGAGAGCAAGCGTTCCGGGTAAGCGTAGGCTATGGATGGCGGTGGCGTAGCTGTCGCGGTGCTGTTCCTGCGGTTCACAAATTTGTCCTTCTCCCTCGGAGAGGAGAGCCAGCACACGGGCTGCTCGCTGTTCTCACACCCCGCGCAGGACGCCGAATCAACATGCGGGGGGGGCGGGCAACCGAACATGAGTCAAACTTGTCCAGCAACAGCAGCAAAACCACACCATTGTCGTCGAATTTGTGTGGAAATGCGAACTCCCGAGCCCGGTCGTTATGACGGTTGCTGCCTTCTGCTCAACCACTTCATGATTCTTCTGCCATTGTTGGAACGCCTGTAAGAGAACGAAGTTGAACTTCGGTTCATTTTTTTTTGTTTTGGGAGACACCAGCTCGTCCGTCCCCATCGTTGTTGTTGTTGTTGTCTTCACATTAAAAACCATCCCGGTCTCTCTATCCAGTACCTCCCTCTGTCTCAATCTCTCCGTACTAATCCATCACTTGACTCGGCCAATTTCCGTGGTCACAGGCTAACGTACCTAGAAAAGGTATACCAAAATAAAATGGACCCCAAGGGTCAGCAGAGCGATAAAATATAAGAAAACAAAAAATAATCAGAAACAAATAAAATAAAATAAAATAAATAATTAGACTAGTGGAACGGCCGCACCACCAGCCTGGGGGGGTAGCCTCCCACTACATGGAGGCAGGTCGACGGCCAAAGGAAGGGGCGGGGGTACGTGCCAGTAAAAAACAAAACAAAAGACAAAATAAAACAGAATAAAGCAAAGACGAGGACACAAACAAACTCGCACAGAGACAGGGATATCCCTAGAGACAGTCTGAACGCGACAGCAAACGGGGGAGAGGGCAACAGAAAAATTAGTCGTTGAAATTCGACCCCAACATGTCACGTCACGCCGTCGATTCAGCTTTTGCGCGTTTTTTTTTGGAATGCAATATTCCCAACAGCTGTGTACCGAAGGAACCAAACAGATACCTGGTGCTGCCGTTTCATTCACTCGCGGACCTCTGCTTCGACCCCATGAAGCCAACATTGTACTTCTTGAGGTAGTATACAGGTTCATCATGTTTAACGTTTTTGTTTTTCACCGGGGCCTGGGAACCCGGACCCCAAACATAAAGTTGTGCACATGTTTGCTTGTGTTCACATTTCTCATCATGCACTGCTGTAAACCAGATTATTGACAACAGGTATAAAAGCGACGGAAACACACACACACACGATTTCAAATTGGGAGATGCAGCATACCACGATATCCTGGCTTCGGCTGGGCTTGAAAAAATCCTTTTGCTGTCCTCCGCTCTTTGCATCAGTGGCTTCCTAGGTTCGGGCGAGGGCATGTGTGGAGCTATGGCAGTGTATGTGTTGCTATTTGTTTGATTCATTTCGCTGCTGACACGATGACTGTTGGATCTGACGTCTTTTCATTGGTCAGCCGGTTAGCGCGGTCGATGCTAATAATCCTGGCTTCGGCTGGGCTTGAAATAACCCTNACACGATGACTGTTGGATCTGACGTCTTTTCATTGGTCAGCCGGTTAGCGCGGTCGATGCTAATAATAAAAACACACACAACACGACGGATTTTGATTGGTCAGCCGATTAGCGCGGTCGATACTAAATTATAGACCTATAGACGGATTTCCTGGGGCCTGAGGGCTCACCAGATCGAAGGACAATCCTGATGTTCTCGAGAGCCCAGAGCCCTTTTTTCGCGGATTCTCCGCCCGTAGACCTCGCGTTGAAGCGAGACTTGCACCTACCGATAGCCCTGTGCACCAAGTCTCCGCATGACATGAGACAAAGTACTCTACTGCTGTAGTGCGTCTTTATTTCGATCCCGGCGAAGAGCGGGAGGGGCTAGAGGTCGGTGTCGTGCGCACAGCTGTCTGCAAAACTACACAAAAAAAAAAAACATGAAGTACTTTGTTACTCTGTTTCGTGGAAGTCCTATTTTGGTATGTTTTTTCTTAAGAGAAATATGAGAGTATGTTGAGTAGAGTATAAAGAGCCATACTATAAAGTGAGTATGAGTAGAGTATGAAAAGCCGTACTATACTCAAAAAGATGTTTAGTAGAGTTTTGAAGAGCCGCACTTACAAAAGTTTTAGTAGAGTACGAAGAGCTGTACTAAACGCCACAGGATGTTTAGTACAGTATGAAGAGCTGTACTAAACGCCACCGTATGTTTAGTACAGTATGAAGAGCTGTACTAAACGCCACAGTATGTTTAGTACAGTATGGAGAGCCATACTAAACGCCACAGTCAGTACTCTTAGTACAGTACATGTACTGACAATACTGACAGAACAACTACTCCGTACAAGCGTTGATTTGATTGCATGATAAAACATAAAAATAAACTGCTGTGGCGCTCCTCCACTCGTTGAGCCCGGCACGACGACCACCTCGTTGTCCTGTTGCGCGTCTTGTGTTGAAGAACCCGGTGCGAGGGTACTCGTACCGGGAGAACCACCCGCATCGGGAGCAGATGCGGCCGAACCACCGCTCGCGTCACTCATGCTCAGCTGCCACTATCTCCCCTGCGGGCCACTACCTCAGTACCCCAGTATCTGAGTACGCGAGCGCGCGAGTATCGGAGCCTGGAGCCCACCACCACTCTGTGCGGCGAGACTGTCTACTTTCTGCTGAATAGTGACGTCACCAACACACCCTTTGGTGGAAGGTAGTACGTACTCTGACGTTGAGTAGTACGTACTCTGAGTTGAATATGGCGGGCTGTACTATGGCCTGAGTAGAGTATGGGCAGCCATACTAAACGCCACAATATGTTTAGTAGAGTTGTTGTTGTTGTTGACTTCACATTAAACCGTATGTCAGTTGCTAAATGCNATAAAAATAAACTGCTGTGGCGCTCCTCCACTCGTTGAGCCCGGCACGACGACCA